TAAAAATTTTAAAAGAAAAATGATCAATTTAAAACAGTTTAAATAAAGCAAGAAAGGAGAAAAAATTTGAGGCCCCCTGGGCTTAAAAGCCCCCCCCCCCCCCCAGAGCGTATACTGGATTAACACAACACATGCCTCTCGTACAAGTCGGGTATTGGTCTCATTGTGAATCATTCCGAGTTTTATTCAAAAGTTCCAATTGAAAGGCTTGACACTTGACTCTGCCTCGAACCTTTCCGTCCAAATGAAGGTCATCTTGTACCCACCTGTCCATATGAAGGTCATCTTGTACCCACCTGTCCATATTAATGGTCATATTGTACCCACCTGTCCATATTAATGGTCATCTTGTACCCACCTGTCCATATTAATGGTAATCTTGTACCCATCTGTCCATATTAATGGTCATCTTATACCCACCTGTCCATATTAATGTCATCTTGTACCCACCTGTCCATATTAAAGTCATCTTGTACCCACCTGACCATATTAAGGTCATCCCGTGCCCACCCATCCTAGACCAAGGTCATCCCAAGTCCACCAGTCCATATTAAGGTCATGACCTGCTGTGGCCATAGACCTGTCCTACCATTCTTGAGAAGATGCTACAGTAAGACATTAACTTGGCCAGCTCCTCCCCCCCCTACCATGGATTTCATGTATAATAGTAAACTAAACAAAACCTCACCCCATTTTCACATCCCTGTAGTTGAACCCCACTCCTCTCACATTTGCCCTACCACCACCGCCACCAACAACCACCAGCCTCAATATTCCCTAACTCTAAAATCTCTCACCACACAAACTCGCCCCCCCCCCCCAATCTGCCAATCTCTCAGTGTTACATCAAGGCTCCTCAAAGTGTGCTCATGCCATAGACAGTCTTATACCCATGACACCCCAGCCCTACAGTATGTTGTATACGTCAATTAACTGTCCTACATAACATATAATCAAATAGTAAAACATGTAAAAAAAACCAAAAAAAACTTGAAATCCTTTAAAATAGATGTCTTTGAAAAAAATGAAGTTATTTGGGGGGAGAAAAAAAATATGTCCGAACAGCTGTTTA